ACACACACACACACACACACACACACACACACACACACACACACGTGCCTCATGATATCTAACAATCTGCAGATTAAATTTAAGATTATCACTAATTTAATTTATGTAATGTGCATCTAAGCTTTAAAGTCATAACATTATTTTATTTCATTAAGTTTAATTGCAATTCTAAACATATTTAGTGTTTTTCTTCACTTTTTTCCTCTTTAACATCTCTCCTATAGATCAGATCACAATTATTGCCAAACATATTAGTTGATGATGTAATCTAGTGACTTGAGTTTGATTTTTCTAGAAAATAACGAGTTGGTTAAAGCAGATGTTTATGTTTTTTGCACTTTATTTTTTCATGATGTTACTGGACGGAAAGCAGTAAGCTTCATTTTTTTTATATTTATACTCTTTTCTATTTATTTATAGACTGTCCTGTGAAGTTCAGACAGTGTTTAGGAAGTTCACTTAACATCTTTAATATCATGTTTCATGAAACAAGAAAAATTGGAAATGGTGAAAAAGTAAAGCTACAGATATGTTTGCTTTATTGTAATCTGTGCTTTAAATAAATCTTACTTTGTTTATTGCTTCTGTTTGTTGAAAAATACTTAAGACGTTAAAATTTAATCGCATATTAAATCACAATTTATAGATTTAAAAAAATCACAATTAGATTATTTTCCAAAATCTTTCAGCCCTAGTTAGTATTCCCAAAGTTATTTAAATTTGCTGAATGTCTGAGTTAGATTTATTTTATTTTTAATTAATTTATTTTTGCTTCAGTGTAACAGGTTTACATACATTTGTTCAGTATTTGGTAGCATCCCCTTTCAAGCTGTAATCTGTCAGTATGTTTACGGTCATTATTCTTTTGAGACTCATTATCACCCAGGTTCACCACAGGAAGTCATCGTCTTCCATCTCAGTCTGTCCTTTGTACCTTCTGTCCTCTCTCTTACTGCATTCATATATTTTATCTCCTCTTTGTCTTTTCCTGCCAGCTCCATCTCTAAGATCCTACCAATATACTCACTGTCCCTCCTCTGGACATGTCCAAACCATCTCAGACTGGTCTCTCTAACTTTATCTCTGCCGTTGAACCTGTGCTGTACCTCTCATCCTAATCTTATCCCTCCTTGTCTCCCCCAAGGAAAATATTAAACTCTATGTAATATACAGGAACTAAAAATAAAAATTAAAAACAGTTTTTGTGTTCAGTGTTGTAGGTCTCAACTTTGACTTCCTGGCTCTGAACCTGACAGGATTCATAGCTTACAGTGTCTTCAACATCGGGCTGTTCTGGATCCCTTACATCAAGGTAACTTCATCTTTCAAACAGGGAGGGCACTGTTCACATCCTGTAAGCCTTTTTCATTGTCAAGTCTCACTCTGATCTGTTTTATGACTGCTCCGTTCTGCTCAAGTGCGATTGTGTCCTTGGTTTTGTGTTTCTCACTCTGTCAGTGGGTCGTCAGCATGTGGGTTAACAGGGCTCTAGACTAACTTTTTGCACTGGTTGCACCAGTGCACCTAACATTTTTTCTTAGGTGCACCAGCACAAAAGTTGGGTGCACCTAAATTTTAAACCACGTCGCTTTTAACATCAGAGTTTTACAGATTATTTTTTTAATCACTGTTCATTAAGGCAACATTAACTTGAAAATAATTAGTTAACAATCTAGTAAACATAAAGTTTTTTATTTGAACCAGAATTGTACATAACCTATAACTTACTGAAAAGTATTTAAAGTGATTCTATAAAATTCTAAGTGCAAATGTTTAAGGGCTGAACGTCTTATAAAAATCTTAAACATTTCATGGTTAAATTTCTTTTAGACACCTGCCCCTCAGATGGACAACTATGGATCTTTGGCCTTGGATAAACAAGAATGATGGACAGAGAGTATTGATTAATAACAGAAATATTACTGATATTTATTAAAAGGTTGTGCAGCTTTTTTAAAAATAACAACACATAAAAATCTGCTATTTCATTAGCATTAGTTGAATCTTATTATATTATTTCACTTAAATATCTAATATGTCTAGTTATATCCTCCTGAGACCCAGAAGAACCTATTTCAGATACTTGGAATGTAACTGTGGTGAAACCGATTAAGTGCAAAAGCGGCCTGCCATACACGTGAGCTACCTCATGCTGCTGAAATGATCTGCTGCTCACAGAGTAGACCCCGACTGTTAAATTAACAAGATGGACTTAAGAGCGAGCAACCGTCCACATCTTCTTTTCATCTCAACAGTTAACAAGAAAAACAAGTTTTTCAGACTCCGATCTGGGTAAAAAAAATAATAATAATACTACGGTTGTTTCGCTATACGTGTGTTTGTGTGTGTGTACAGGTTTTTGCTTCATGGTGGGTACAATTATTGACCATTTCCCCAGTACACACAGCCAGGTGAGGTTAGGGTTTGGGTCAGGTGTGTAGCCTACCTGGGAGGTTATGGTTGACTGTAGAATTGACGGGGAAATGAATGGAAGCCAATGCAAAGTCCCCATGAGGATAGAGCAACAAACGTGTGTGTGTGTGTGTGTGTGTGTGTGTGTGTGTGTGTGTGTGTGTGTGCGTGCACGGGAGGTGTGGAGCGGAGCCGACGAGCAGAGCGCAGTGTTATTAGGAGAGATGGAGACTGTGTCAGCGGACGACTGTAATGGTTGATACTGCTGGATTCATTTTTTTATGGAACATGTAAACTTTGTTTCAGCGGGCGACCGCTCCCACTCCCACTCGAACGATTGGTCGCAGGAGTGCGACCGGACATTTTTTTTAGTCGCACTATTAGGAAATTAGGTCGCATTTGCGACCAAACTGGTAGCAGTCTAGAACCCTGGCTTAAGTCGTTGTGGTTTTATTGTCCGTTAGTCTGTCTTTTTAAAAACTTTGTCGCAGCACTGTTTATAAGTGCGCATGCAATCGTTGGTGGCCAATTTGTCCAAAACCTGGTATAACTGCTCATTTCAGACTGCTCTGACAAACTCAAGCTGTATGCACCTGTCTGCAGAAAGAGTTTCTGCCTTGGCTCAGCTGATCCACAGGCAACAGTCTGCGGACATCAGATCACTGGCTCGCAATTCTGTTTCACCCACTTAGAGCTACTGCCAAGGTGGATCCAAATACATGGTTGGAGTCGAAATGGAGGCACATTTGGCCAAGGCTGAATCGATGAGAACTGCTTAAAAAACACCTGAGAAGAAGGGGTTGTATCAAAACCTCTCAGTCAGAATCAGAACCACTGAAAGACAAAACTTCAAGTTAAAAACTGAAATCTTACTGTAATCCTGAAAGAACATTCACAGAATGGACATGCAGTCGTATCGTATTGTTACCAGCCAGCCAGCAAGCAAGCAAGCAAGCAAGCAAGCAAGCAAGCGGAGGCAGCACCAGTCCACTTATCTATCTCCCAAGTCCTCCACTTGGGGCAGGACCTCTTCCCTGACCCTGATGGACCACTCTACCCTTTTTCGGGTCAAGACCATGGTCTCAGATTTGGAGGCACTGATCCTCATCCCGGCTGCTTCACACTCTGCTGTGAACCGCTCCAGTGAGAGCTGGAGATCACGATCTGATGAAGCCAATAGGACCACATCATCCACAAAAAGCAGAGATGTGATCCTAAGGCCAAGAAAAACTGATCCCCTCAACACCTTGGCTGTGCCTAGAAATTCTGTCCATAAACCGTATATCCGGTTCTGAAAAACAACAAAAAAGTCAAATAAACACCTAGCTTTTTCCAAACAAATGCATATTGCCGGCTGCCTTTCTTGCCAGAGTTTTAGACCAAGATTATCTCAGGAAGTCGTTTTGGTCAAACATGTAGAATAACGTTCAGAGTATGTGTTGACTGTTAGCTACAACCACACCAGAGTTTAGCTCAATATCTGGGAAACTTTACAGAGAATTCCAGCCATTTTTGTGTTTTTAAAGTCCGTTTAGTTTAATGAGTGAAACTGTTCTTGTGTCCTCAGGAGGAGTTTCTGCAGAAGAACCCTAATGGGATAAACCCAGTCAGTGCTAATGATGTGTTCTTCAGTCTCCACGCTCTCCTGCTCTGTATCATCTACGTCAGTCAGGCTGCTATTTACGAGGTATGAATGTAAACCATGAATATTTAAAATCCAGTGAAAACATGACGAGAGGACGGTTAAAGAGAGAAAGATTAAAGGAATTTCTGACGTCATTAATAAAATGAGTGTGTCCTCTCTCTCCTGTCCAGAAGGATGGTCAGAAGGTCTCGTGGACAGCACGGCTCTTGTTGCTGATTGCCTGGACGTTTGCTTTGATCACCTTGTTTGTCGCTATAGCCAAACAAATCACTTGGCTGGATTACCTCTACTATTTCTCCTACATTAAACTCGCAGTCACGCTGGTCAAATATATCCCACAGGTAAGATGAACAGAGAGAACCCCACCTAAAAAAATCTAAATCAAAAACACAAACAATGTCTGCATTGTGGGAAAAATGTTGATACTGCTTACACACTGGGTCCTCTGTAGACCTGGGGCCTCGTGTACAAAGACTTGTGTGGATTTCCTACAGAAACCTTGCACACCAAACACATGAAACTGTGTTTACAGGAGTTAAATATGCAAATAGATCATAAAAAAGTCATGCCTACACCTGTCAGTTCAAAGCAGATCATATTAGACTCAGCAAGTCACTGAAACTGTACTTTCACCAGCAAAAAACAGGAAGTCCCTGACTTAAACCTCAGACTAATAATGATCAATGAAGACCGGATGATGTCTGTGGAGGATAGACTCATCAGGTGTAATAATATGAGGACAATCAAATGAATTTACTCACAAGAACCCTCCCATTCTGCACTGTGCCAACCAGCTGTTCGTTAGAATGATCGGCTCCTGTGTTGAACAAGACCACCTCTCCACAGTGTTGTTTAGTAGGACCCTATGATTTCCATGATGCAGAGGACAAGGCAGAATGGTGCAATGTAACAAACAAAAAAGGAATTCAGTACAAAATATGGAATCTCACAGAATTTGCTTATTTGAGTGCATAGGTAAAGGAGCGTAATAGTTTCTGAGGTATTTTGGCCACTGCTGCTCCCTGTACCTGTCCTTACCTGGTTCAGAGGGGTGGGCTTTCCGTTCCACATAGACGGGGGAAAAATAGAGGTAAGCCATGACGAAGAGACTCACTGAAGCATCAATGTCCTACAAAAAAAATTTAAAAAAGAAAAAAATGAAGCTTAGTGCAAAGTTTAGGGCGGAACCTAACCCCAGTGGTTTTTAGGAATCTGGAGAAGTTTTGTCAGCACAACTGCGTCTCTGAAGTTGGTGTGGAGCGGCTCACATTGCAGGGCTCATTTTTGATGAGATTTTTGATGGAATTCATTCTGTGAAAAAAGAATGAATGCTGCTTTTATTCATACATTTATGTATATACCATGTTTTTTGTACATGAGGCCCCAGAGCTGTGTGATTCCCTCAACATTTCCTGCTTACTGACTTGGAAATCCCCATTTGCAGAGTGGCTCAGTGTTACCTGTCCCCCAGACCTGCAGGTGCTGGACTGTAGACATGTGAGACAGTCTGCAGCAGCTTCGCTCAGAGATCCTGTCATATGCTTTATTTATTTATTTATTTATTTATTTACTGTATGTTTGCTGTTTCCATATCAACTCTATTATGAGCTTCTGTGAGTTCAGATACATTTTCACTCGTGGTATTTTTTTCCTTCACATCTTCCAGTCAATTTTGTCTGGATGATGGTATTTTGTCCTGTAAGCAAGTCTTCCAAAATGCACTTAGTTTTGATGTTGATCAGGTGTGTGTTTGTGTGATGGTGTGTGTGCAGGCATACATGAACTACAAGAGACAGAGCACTAAGGGTTGGAGTATCGGGAACGTCCTGTTAGACTTCACAGGAGGAATCTTCAGCATTTTACAGATGATCATACAGTCCTACAACAACGGTAATTAGATATTTATTTATTTATTATTATTATTTATTTATGAATTAATCTAAAGTTGATTGATCTCATCGATTGACTAACGATTAATTGATAAGCAGCCATTTTCCTAAAATCTGACATTTCACTTGAATCAAGGGTCTTTTAACATGATGAGCTATTTTTTTACACTAAATAAAAAAAGTACAGTATTTTAACAATTCATTGTGCCAGATGTATTAAACGCTGACTGAATGAACAGAGAAATGTGGATTTCTCTCACATTGTTAAACTTATAAAATTAACAAAACAGGAATCTATTTAGTTGCTAGTTGGAAAAAATGAAAGAATAAAATACGTAAAACACTTAATCCACCCCGAAGATAAAAAAAACCCTATAATTTAAAAACGGTAATATTTTAAGATAAAGATTAACTCAAAAACAAACTAGAAACTTAATAAAATATCCCTGAAAGACGTGAGATACAAATGAGTGTTGGCAATTGTTTGTTTGTTTGTTTACATTCCCTCTGCTTCTATCTTAGCTAAGCTGCTCGGCCTGATCTGACATCAGTTTGTTCATTAGATTGGTTTACTGGCCGGGTTATGTCTCACTGATTAGATTAACTTCAAGTTAATATTTGTAGCGACTGTAACTGTTTTTTTTTTGTTTGTTTGTTTTGTATGAGGTGAATGTTGTACCAGCAGCAATTGAATTTGAATTGCTCAGATTGAATCTGAATGTGCATAAATTGAATGCATTGGTTTAAAAATGAATTTTACTAAATTGAAACTGAATTTAATGATTTGAAACTGATTTTAAAGTTTTGTATCTGAATTAATATGCTTTGAAATTGTATTTTGGTTTATTAAAAATTCAGTTTGACTACTTTCACTTTCAGTTCCATAATTCAATTTCAGTTCTAAAATTCAGATTTTGTGTCACACATCCTGGTCCTTGAAAAATCCAGCCAGAGTAATCAAACACAGATCCACAGATTTATGTTTCACTTTGGTGAAGTTTCCCTTCTGTATGTAACAGACTTGATGCAGTCCATTATAAAAGTGACAAAAACAGACAATTATTTTATTGCAGTGATTAAATTTTACCTATGTGTAGAAAATGTTACATTTACATCACATCATGGATCACATATTGACCAGATGCTGCTGCTGACTGATCCACTACGTTGGAGCTGTTGAATAATGTTCCTGTTATTCTCCTCAGATGAGTGGGCGCTGGTGTTCGGTGATCCTACTAAGTTTGGTTTGGGTCTGTTCTCTGTGCTGTTTGACATCATCTTCATGACTCAGCACTACTGCCTGTACCGACAGCCGAAGCAGTACGAAGCCGTCCCAGAACGAGACAACACGAACTGAGCAGAGCTGATGCTTCAAACACAGGAGTCAAAGCTGCCTAACTACAGAGCAACTCTAACCCCAGGTGCAAAGCTGAAGACCTGCTGTTTGTCATCAGAACCTTCTGGAACCAGCAGCTCAGACCTCCGTGTTCCTGTTCCTAAACTATCTCAGGGAGATCACTCGTCTTTGCTCTTGTAACTTTTTACTGATAAGAAAAAAGAAAAAAAAACTGATTTCAGCACCTTTTAATATTTAACACATTATCACTTTGGAGATGTCATTATTTTTTGATTATTAGTTTTTTCCTCTTCTCATTTGAGGTTTTTATATCATAGTTGCTGTTGAATTTGATTAAATATGCTGATTAATCTTCGGTGAACATGACTTGACATGTTAAGCACCTCCCATCAGTGTTTCACAAGGCTTGCCCCCTTTATAGCCTGAATTTTAAAATGTGTTTGTTTAAAATGTTTTATACCAAATTAGTGACTTTGTCACTAGATTTAACAAGTTTTCAGACCGCTCTAATGATTTTCTTTCCAAAAAGCGACAAGCGACAAATCTAGCGATTTGTTTATTTTATTTTTTTGTGTTATTGAAGACTTTTGGAGACTTTGGCGACAGTACTTCACTCAGCGAGCAGCGAGTGGTGCCGTAAGCTACAAACTTTGTCAAACTGAAGGCCATCTGGCCCGCGGGTGATTCCCGAATGGCCCACCATTTATTTTTCTTACTTTACATGGAAATTGTTTCTTATATCAATTGTGAACTTTAAATTTATGATTAAATGCAACAAAATAAATTCAAAAGGTGAAAGATAATAATTGTCCTGCCCCTGAGCCGTTGGCTATGAGTAACTGAGCAATTAAGTTGGATAGCACAGTATTATTGCCTGAAAATAAGCTGCTTTAAAGTCAGCATCAACCATAAACTAAATCTGCCATAACGCATACTAGCTACTCACTAGAAACTCATCAGTGAATAAAACTTTATTAGTTCTACTTTCTTTATATTTCTGTATTTATTTCAGATTCAGTCAGTCGTACACTTAGTTCTTATCAGTGTTTAAAAGAGGACATGTTAAAACGAAAGTTACATATCTAACTATGGTTCTATGAATCCTAAATGACCGCCAGAGAGCAGCAGTGCTGAAAGCGCAGAATGTTCCCTTCGCGCATGCGTCGTTCGAGTAATTAATATCAACAAAGTCACAGCTGTGACCCATCGGATGATTACCTTGAACCGATATAGGCCGTAGCATCCGGGGCTCTGCTCCTACAGAATCTTCTTGTGAAATGCGAGGATTCTGGGTAACAGAAGCTCTGGTAGTCATTCAGGATTCATAGAACCGTAGTTACATATGTAACTTTCGTTATGTCCTGATGCATCTCAGTAATCCAGGTAAAAAATCAAAAGGAAAAAAACTGTATAGGTCCTCTGGACGGGTTCTTCTTTAATGAAACGTTTCGTCTCTCTTCCAAGAGACTTCTTCTGTCTGAGAGTTTCAGGCAAAAT